TATTATTGTTATTATTATTATTATTATTATTATTATTATTATTATTATTATTATTATTATTATTATGTTCGCAAACGTGTTTTGAATTTATGCACGTAAAAGCGCCCTACGATGAAATTATAATGAGAAAGAACTGTGTTCAGGCTGCTGCTTCACTATATCTGTTGATGCGGCAGAGTTTCGAATCGGGTTCGAGCTTTTCAAAAGTGAAAATGCAAATTACAATGTCACTGAGCACACTGGTTTCCACCGGCACACGTTATGGCGATTGGATCAACGAGGATTGCTTGCGGCGCAGCTTGAAAACAGTGCTGTCATATTCTGAAACCGATGCTTCAACAGATTCACAGTTACGAGGAACCACATTTTCGGAACAGGTATTATTAATTGCCCGTTTTTTTAGCGAATTTCTATCGCGTAACGCGTGAAGAACGAATGGGGGGGGGGAGTGCTCGGCTGTAGGGGTGCTGTTGCTGCGGGGTACTCGTCCAAACCAATAAATAATAATTGGTCAACGCATGGGCTGCTCGTGCGAAGATGCGTTTTTTGCATGGCTCCCCGCAGATTTTTGTCTTTAACTGCACTGGTTTTTCCGGCAAATGCTTCTAGCCAAAAGAATTTCTCACTGGCCGCTAGGACTGCCAGGAAACATCTTTTCTAGCTTCTCAGGCCCCCGAGTTAGCAACTTACCCGGAAAAAATTTTAGCGGGCCCGAATGTGGGTACCACGCATACCTATGGGCTGGATTTGAGCTCAGCGAGACTCAGTCAGACGGGGAATATCCCCTCAAAATCACAGTCTTTTAGCTTTTCAAATTCTTGAGTTAGGGACTTACCCGGAAATTTTTGCTAGACAGTACCTGGACACCACGCGGATAAGAGTGCCCTTTTTGGGGATCGAGGCGCGTACGTGCATGCAGATTAAGTTCCCAAATTTTCAGTCCTGTAGCTTTTGTAGGTCTTAAGATGAAAGACCGTGACAGACGCACACACAGACAATTTTTATGCGTTTTTTGCATCTATGCAATGCGCATTTTCTGCATTGCATAGATGCAAAAAACGCATAAAAATTTATTTGAAACAGGAAAACAAGAAACCAAATCGCGGAAAATTCGGCAACAGCTCCAAACTGCCACCGAACAATTAGAGCGGGAGAGGCAACAGCTCCAAGCTGCCGAAGCACAAAAAAAAAATCACAATTTCATTTTTAATCACATCATTGCATAACACGGAGGAGGTAACTGGAGTCTGCAGACGGGATATTTGCATATCACATGTAACCGAGGGGCAACTGAGCAGGGTGAAGGGGTTTAGCTGGCAGCTTCGTTTCTTTGTTGTCAACAGTTGCTTCTTTTGCAACATCTTTACAAATACCGTTGTAGTGTTGTCGTAATTTCTTAGTCGGTAAGGTGCCTCATCGTGCTTTTGGCTTGGGACTGCAACGCTGAAGATGAAATGAGGTGAGGAAACGCATCAGAAAAGTCTTGGGACAACTAAGTTTTTGCCAACTGCTTTTGTTTGGGAGAACTGTTGAGCTGGTCGACTTAATATAGCCAGCAGACAAATCAGATAATGTGGCATTAGTTAGAGCGGAAAAGTGCCTAGTTGCGTAAATGAAAAATCGGGTTTTGAATTAGCTGTAATTTTAAATGTTTTGCTTAATTACCGACAGATATTTGATGTAGAATCTGAAGTTGCGAGCAGCACTCAAGGATAACTGTCTGCCTTAATGTTCTTCGTATTTTTGCAGTGGCACGTAAATGTTGTTTTTTCAGTTTTTGTGGGGTCTATTTCTTCCCTTTTTCTAGTAGAAAATAAGCAAATTCAAGAAAGGGGGAACAAATTTAGCTCGCGTCTTATTTTTACTTGAGGAAAGCATGTCACTGCGTTATGAACGAATTATGTTCATTTGCACTTCAGAAACACCTGAGGCTTTCACTAAGCAGTTCAAGTGCTGAGAATCACAAATGTGGGATATCAGTGAATTAAGGTTTCTGTGTCAAATTACGTATTGTTTTGCAGGTCAAAGATCTGGTTTTCAATCTGCACATGATCCTATCGGATACGGTAAAAATGAAAGAATATACGAATGATTTTGAGATGCTCATTGATCTTATGTATCGTGTTGCAAAAGGATATCAGAATAATCCCGATCTCAGGTTTGTTTGCTGTCTTTCTTGTTTGGTTGGAGGGTCGGTAGTACGCGATGATATTACAGTAAATTTACTGGGATCCATGTACCACTACAGTGTGCGCTTAACGAATCGATTGTTGCGAAGGCTGTTACGGTTTTTGCAGAATCGCAGCCACTGTCAAACTAAAATACGAGACGATGCATTTATCCACCAAGCAGGGCATGAAAATTCGCTTTTCGCGCTGATAATAATCTAGATGGTTTTAGGAATTTGTTTCAGGTTAACTTGGTTGATAAATATGGCCAATAAGCATGCAGCACGTGATAATGCAGCAGAAGCAGCACAATGTATGCTGCATGCAGCTGCACTTGCTGCTGAGTATATATCAATGCGTGAGTATAATGCATATGTACCAAACGGTGCTGCTGCTTTTGAGCAAATCAGTGATAACATTCTGGAGGAAAGCGCTGTTTCGGATGATGTTATCAGGTAACGATTGACTACTTCTGGGAACCCGAAAGCATCTACTGACAATTTTGCTGCAATCAGTGTAAAATAACTGGTATATCATTTAGAAATGAATGTATTGATTTAGAAGGAAGATGAGAAAAAGCCAGATTTATGTGCTGTAAAAAAAAGGACAAACAGAAATGTAAAGTACATCAGTGGATCTAGCTCTGAACTCTCACAGATTTTGCGGAAAAGTACCACAAATTACTGTAGAAAAAACTGAATTCATGAAGTAATAATTGGCCAGTGCACAGGTTGCCCATGCGAAGATGCGTTTTTTGCATTGATCTCCGTGGATTTCTGTCGCTAACAGCACTGTTTTTTCCGGCAAATGCTTCTAGCTAAAAGAATTTCAGACTGGCCGCCAGGACTGTCAGGAAACATCCCTTTAAAATCCCAGTCTTCTAGCTTCTCAACTTCCCCAGTTAGCAACTTACCTGAAAAAAGCTCTCACAGTCCCATAGGTGGAAATGACTCATGTCCGGGGGCTAGATTTGAGCTCGCTAATACCTACGTGAATGGGGAACATTCGCTTGAAATTCCAGTCTTCTAGCTTCTCGGGTTCTTGAGTTATCAACTTACCCGAAAAAAAAATTTGGTGGGCCCGTAAATGGGCACCACGCATACCCGGACTCTGTGTTTCAATGAGACTTAAAATGGATGGGGAATATCCTCTTAAATACAGTCTTCTGGCTTTTCAAATTCTCGAGTTAGCGACTTACCCGTAAAAAATTTTGGCTAGTCCTTATGTGGAGACCACGCATACCCGAAAGTTGGGTTTGAGCTCTTTGAGACTTACGAAGATGGGAAACATTAAGTTCCCATTGTTTCAGCTCTGTAGCTTTTGTAGATCTCGAGATGAAAAATCGATACAGAGGCCCAGCGCCCCCACACAGACACACACACACACACACACACACACATTCTCTCATCAATATGCGTTTTCCGCATTGCATAGCTGCAAAAAACGCATAAAAGCGGGCAAAAAACGCCATTTTGAACGCGGAACCTAAAATCACTTATTATTTAAGTGATGCGGGAAAAATTGGCTGGGGTGGGGGCGAGAAGGGGGGGGGGGGGG